TTGCTAGCCCCCCCCCCTCCACGGAGCTTGCTGCGCCACTACCCCCCCACAGTCCCCACCAGGCTCGCAACCTTACCTTCCCCCACCGCTTCCAGGAGTCCCCACGAGCCCCATTATGGCTCCCAAAGGGCTTCAGGGAGGCCTGCTAGGCCCAAAATAGGGGGGAAGAGCCCCCTGCACCCATTTTGGCTCCCAGGGGGCTTCAGGGAGGCCTGCTAGAGCCACCACTGCTTACAATAAAGTAGATTCAGCTCATTTGGTCCTATTTCCTGATTGGTTTCCCTTGTTGCAAAATGGACAAAGTGACGTTTACAACTTCTGTGTATTACTATCCAGTATGAAACCAAGCATTACAAATCTTTGTGCAGGCCACTTAGGGAGAAATATCAGAGGTCTAATTTTTGTGTGCTTATTTACAATAAGCGCTGCTTTTATTATATTTTTAATTAACAACTATTTAGATTTAGAAAACCTAACTAAAGCTAATATCTTTTTTTTAATTATGTAGCATTGGAAAATCCTGCAAACAATTTCAGAGCAATCCTAGAAAAATTTGAGCCATTTACCATTTTTTGGGAAGGCATAATGGGTGAGATACACTTTCCATGGTATGTATGTTCATTAGGAATATAGGCGAATTCATTTCTGTTTATTCCCTTTTTTTCATTCTTGTGAATCTGTTTAGTTTCATTTGCTGAAAACCTGAGGGTTTTTTTTAAGAAGATTTACATTAAAATATATGCATTTTGGGGGGAAATGTTTACAGTCATGCATTTTTGTGTGCCGTTTACCCTAATAGACATATTTAGGATGAACTTTCCATGATAATATGCCTCATATTATTTTCATGAAGACAGACTGCTCCTGCTATCTGTAAGTCTATTTCTCACTCTTTTAAGGAACCACAGTTAGTAAATAGAGAGCAATACATAAGTAAATTCCGCAAATAGTATACAGTCCAGGCTTTCGCCCATGTGTGACGGGCCTTTTTCCTAGCTTCATTATTTGCAATTCCACCACCAGGAGTTGTTACGCTAGAACTCCATTCCAATATCTCCAGTTTCAAACAATCCTTTTCCTTTTATCCATTTTTAATTAGCGACCCGCATTGCAATATTTGAAAAAGGGTAAATTCAGTATGATACCAAAATTTTCATTTGTCTGTTGATTTTAGAATTAAGGAAGTTTGCATTTATATGTAAACCCCTAAGATTTCTCAAAAAACAATTAGTCTTAAAAGAATATACTACATCTTTAGTGGAAAGAATCACAATACTTGTAATTAATTTTAGTTTAAACATTTTCAAAACTCATGTTGAAATGAATAGGATTCAGGATACTTTAGGATACCTTTGTCCAGGGTCCTTCAG